TTAGCTTCTTTTAGAAAGACTGTAAATATTTAAGGACTAACAAATTTGTGTGTGTTTATTAATGTCTGTCTATATCTGCCTCTTTCATGTATCTTGTTTTATTTTAAAAGGATACATGAATTAATTTTGAAAATTGAATTTGATAAAAGTTGATAGAAGTGTAAGTTTTGTAGTCATATAGAATTCAAAACACTGAAAGACATACATAGAAAAAAATTGGACATATTTTCTCACTCTTGCAAATGCTATTCTCTAGCACTTTACCTTTGTATAAAATTCTCTAGGAAGTATTTTAGAATACTCCTTTTTTTCCTATGTGACTGTACTTTGTTATCAGTTTAAATACAAATAAGATCTTTTAAATTTTTTTCTTCACCAAGGTGTGTGATTTCGTGTTTTAACTAAGATCTCTGTAACATTGATGTGAAAATGAATTAAAGTAAGATTGGATTGGTATAAAGAGGTAGTGTTTAAAAAATTTTAGAATCACTAAATGCTACAGTTTATTTTTCTTTATTTTTTATTTAACATTGATTATTAGGAAAAATTGCACAGAAATGCTCTTTAGCTAACACCTCTATCACATTAAATAATTACCATTTGTTTTTTTTTGTGGTGAGAACATTGAAAACATATTCTCCTGGCAGTTTTCAATTACATGGTATAGTACTGTCATCACAGTACTGTACATTAGATCCCCAGAACTTACTAGTCTTCAAACTACAAATTTGTACCCTTTGGCCAATATCTATCTTAATAATTCCCTCACTGGCCCCTGGTAATTATCATTGTACTCTCTATTTCTTTAAGCTTGATTTTTTTTTAGATTTCATATATAAGAAATAGACAGTATTTATTTTTTTCTGTCTGACTTATTTCACTTAGCTAATCCCTTCCATGTTCATTCCTGTTGTCACAAATGACAGGGTTTCCTTCTTTTTCATGATTGAGCAATAATTTACTCTCTTTCTCTCTATACACACACACACCCACATACATATACATATATACATACACTTGCCATATGTTCTTTACCCATTCATCCATTAATGAATACTAAAGTTGTTTTCCATGTCTTAGCTATTATGAATAATGCTGTAATGAATAGGAGTATAACTATCTCTTTATGATCCTGATTTAACTTGCTTTAGATAGCTACCCAATGGTAGTATTGCTGGGTCATGTGCTAGTTCTATATTTAAGTTTTGAGGAACATCTATCGAGTTTGTCTCATTTTCCCACCCTTGGTAGGACAATTGCAATGAAAATCTTAAGCCTCCTTTGCTGTTACCATATGGGAATCTCAAACTTAAAACATCTCCTAAGCAAGCAGTTCTCTTCTTTTGCTCCTTCTAGACTTATTTTTCTAGTTTTACACTGTCCAAGATACTGTGCAAATGAGTGTTTGTGTCTGTGTGTGTACGCACATATGTGTAAAGTAGTGCTATTGGGGAGAGAGTGGTTAACATGTTAGTGAGAAGATAGCAAGATCAGTAAGAGAATATAAAATGAGAAATACTAATTTTCAGAGCCCAGAGGTCAACTGGATTGTAACTGAACCGTAGCTTCACTGTGCTTCATCATACAGTTTTTTTCAGGGTCTGAAAAAACTGTTCAGGATTTTAGTGGAATGTCCCCAATAAAATGTGAATGTGAAATAGTGACTGAAAGTATGTCTTGACTAATTACTATTACTAGGCTGTTTTGTAGTCTTGATGTTACATTGGGAAGGATAATCATCTTCTGTTTACTTGTATTATTATTTTCATTCTATATAATGATGCCAGGGTAATAATAATTACTATAAACCCCATGAGGGTTATTTTAATAACTAAAGTGATAATGTCTCAAGAAATAATATAAATACAAAGCAAAATGAGTAAAGTAAGATGTATTTAATGAATAATTTAATGCAGCAGGATCCATTGTCCTTGCAAAACAAATTAATAAGATTTGTTGAACTTCAATTTATTTTTCTAAATGTTTTTCTCAAAAGTCACTAGAGTATTCTCTGTCGCATTCTTTGTCTCCATAATTATAATGCTACCTTTTGCTTTAGAAATCACAAAATTATATTTCAATATGGAATTAAAATGATAGCTTACATTTTTAAAATGATTTTACTGAATGAGGAAAGTGTATATTATTTTGTGGTCAGAATTTTTTTCTCTGAGACTCCTCCCCATTGGAAAAAAATTTCCAATCTTGAAGTATGGTAGTGCTTTTTTTTTTTGTTTTATTTATAAATCACTGTTATTTTATGTTTAAGCCTATATGCTATATGTGGTAGCATATAGGTTTGTTTTGCCATCATACTCCTTCATGCCTCCAGTATGCTGAATCACTTTTCCTTGAAACTTAAATAGTTTTGATTCAAACTCCTGTCTAAAAGGTGGTGGCAGACCCAACATCTGTAGGCATTTGGAATGGAAATTTTCATGTTTCTCTCACCTCTGTCTGAGTTTTTACTGAGCCAAAACTATACTCAATAGTTTGTTTGCTGGTTACCTCCTCAGTTCTTCCTTCCATGTGTTACCCATTCAGGCCTTCGGTGCAACCATAGTTTATTAAAGGTTTTTCGTTTGTTAGTTGTGTAGGTTTGGATGTGTGTGAGAGGCCCACATTTACAGTGTCCCAAATATTATAAATTTTTATTAGTTTTGCTTATAACAATCTGTGGGCAGATTGTCTGAATCTGGCATGTTGGTTCCATTTGGCTTGAATTTTCTCTGGTCTTTTCTTCTAACATCTGACCTCGTTTTAGGAACCTCTAACATTCCCCTTTTCCTTAGCTCTACATTTTTATGTTGTCCTTGTATTTGGAGATCACTTATCTCTCTCTTTGTGCCATGCTAGAACAATCGTTTTAATCCCACCTGTATAATGACAAGCTGATAATAAATAAATACAGTATGCCCAGTGAGAGGCAGACACTTGGACTGTGGAAGATTATAGAGTTCATGCCCCTGTATGGGAAAAAGTGTCTGCTGTGCTCTGGGACTAGTGACCATTCAGTTACAGGCCAGGTAGCTACATTTTCTAAATTTTACAGGATTGCTGAAAGTTTGGATACTTAGGTTAACTTTCCTTTTACTTAAGGTTTGGGAAGTGATTGACAGTTTTTCAAAACAACATGACAGCAAACAATGTATTTTTGCTGGCAACCTCTGGGCAAACAGGCAGCTGTTTGGCAGAGTTGTCTTTAGTATATCTAGGCATTGTCTGTGGGGAACTCAGTTTCAAAACTTTCCAATTTGGGTGTTATTATAATGGAATCTTTTCTAGTCAGTGACTGCTGCCGTACACTTACCACAGGCATAATAATGCCCTGATTTCACATGTACTTCATAGTTTTTAAGAGCTTTTGCACATATTATTTATTTATTTTTTTTAATAATAAATTTTATTTTTATATTCCCCATACAATTTCAACCCCCCATTTTGACCCAATCCCTCCCCTCCCGCCACCCACCCCCCAAAAGTGTCTCTGGTTCATAGATTTTTGTTGATTTTGATTTTCACTTTCTTATAGTTATTCATTTTCCTGGTCCCTTATTTAAGTTTTCTAGATTCCTGCTATGAGACCATCCGGCATTTTTCTTTTTCTTTCTGGCTTATTTCACTGAGCATGATCCCTTCCAGCGCCATCCATGTTGCTGCAAATTGCATGTGTTTATCTTTTTTGAATGCTGAGTAATATTCCATGGTATATATGGACCACATCTTCTTGATCCAGTCATCTATTTTGGGGCATTTGGGTTGATTCCAAAGCTTAGCTATTGTAAATAGTGCTGCTATAAACATAGGTGTGCAGGTGCTCTTTGGAATTGATGTTTCTGTGTCCTTTGGGTAAATACCTAGGAGTGGAATTGCTGGATCATATGGAAGCTCTATGTTTAGTAGGTCCAGAAATCTCCACACAGCTCTCCATAGTGGTTGGACCAGTTTGCACTCCCACCAACAGTGCAGAAGAGTTCGTTTTTCTCCACACCCTCGCCAACATTTGTTGTTGGTAGTTTTTTTAATATGCACATATTAGTTTATTAACTGTTAACAATAACTCTGAGAGTTGGCAAAGCTAACATCTTAACTACTAAATGAAGAAACTCAAGGTCAAAAATTTAAATTCCTTGTTTGCATATTATAATTAAAATGAGGCAGAGGTGAATCAAGGATTTTTATCTTTTAACACCTTGCTCAGGGCACATCCTGTTTACTTCAGTCTTTTGAGAACTATGAATACTTTAAATATATATTGCTAAGTGTCAGCCCTCAAGCCCTCATGAAGTACTTGAAAATCATTAAAAACTCATTTCAGTTTCCTGAGAAACATTATTGTGCTAGTTTATAAAAAAGAAGGGATGCAGGCTCAGTCATTGTGGGAATGCTGTCAGTTCCAAATTGTATTTCTTGTCTTTGTATTTCTCAGCTTGATACTCCACTGACTAGAATTTTATATCTTCATTATTATTCTCTGCTGTGGTTCCAAATGTAGCATCTTCTTTGACATGAGAAATCATTTTCAGCATATAGTGAGTGCCTAGTGCATAGTAACAATTGTCAATGATCTAGAGAAGAGAAATTAAGACTCGCCTGTGCATGTGATAATTAAGAGAGCAATGCAGGATCTATAACAACTAATGTGAATATTCATAAGAACTTGAGAACAAAATTAATGCATGCATCTAGCAAAAAAACAAACAAAACTAAGGGATATAGAAGAGATGTTTTAATCTCTGTCCCCTTTGTCAGTTGATTTGAGATAAGGGCCTCTGGGAAGGTAATTTATTTGGGAGGTGATTGTGCAGAGAATGGAGAGTCTGGAATGCCTATAAAAGGAAAGAAGAAAAATTTAAAAGGGTATCATTGAGTTGGTTTCCACTGTGGACAGCAGTAGCTCAATCATCCAAAAATCTTAAGGTGGATAGACTGCTTCTCAAAATGCTCTGTCCATGTATTGCCTGGAGAAGCATTTGACCATTGACTTCCATATTCCCCAGCTTGCACATAGATACATGTGAGGACCTCCTGCTGGTAATATGCTCTGCAGCAGCATCAGAGAAGCCATGGAGTATAAAAGAAAGACCACTGGAGATGGTGCGCACTTGAGGTAAGGAACCACCAGTGTGAAGTGAATTTGAGCCTGGACAAAATCACCACTAAGGACATAACGAGAAGCAAACAATCAGAGGTAAGGACAAGAACTGCTAGGTTGTGCCCAAGAGATATTTCATGCAATGAATTGGAAACAGCAACAGCATTTTCCCATGTGGCTATCTTGGTGTTTAGTCTTATGGTGGGTGGTACAGCATATAACTCTAAATAGTACAAATATTCACTCTTTCTTAATTTATCAACTTTATACATTGCTTGTACTCCTTCCCCTAAGTTGTTATTATTTTTCAGTTCGTTTATTGGTAACTTTTTAGTTTTAAATAATCAAAAGCACAGTTTCATGTTCTATTAAGTTTCAAAAGTTTATTTTGGCTCTTAATAAGTTGAGATTTTTCCATCTTTACCTTTGCCTTTATCTGCCTCATTCCCTATTTGCCTGTAGCAGTAGATCGCTAGCTGTACCTCCCATTTTTTAGAGTATCATGGTTGATAGTCTTTGCATTCTGTTTTGTGTCCTTTATTACATTTTCTGTATCTTCTCCATGGTTTGATTTTAAGAGTTTGTAATAAGTGGTGCTTAACTATTTTGCTAACATAAAAATTATGTAAAACTGAGTGATATGCTAGGATTTTATCTTTCCCCTTCTCCAAATGTTTGACCCTTGTGCAACTTGAAAAAGTTAAGGTCCAAGTGAATTATATACCATCAGCGTCTGAAAATACAGACTTTACTGTGTGTTTGTCTGTGTGTGCATATATGTGTGCGTGCATTTCCCTAGAGTTTCTAATTGCATTTCATTTTTTGTTGAAAAAAAAAATAATGCCTATTACCATATCACATGCAGTATCTTGATCATTTGTGTTGGAATGGTATTTGTCCCTTAAGTTTTCATTTTGAAGATGTTTTTGGTGCTGTTTTCTTAGTGTATTTTTGACCAGTTGCATTTTATATTTATTTCACTTTGATGATCCTGACACTATATTTATTGCACTTTTATGTTCTAGAATTTCTTGGACCTCACAATTTCCCTTCTTGATTTTTACTGATTTTCTTGTTTCTACATGTTCTCCAGAAACTCAGAGAAGTCTTGGCAAGAACTTTTATGAGTTTTTATATGTCTGAAAAATGCCTTTATTTACATCCATGTTTGAGTGATAGTGTAATTGATTTAGAAATCTAGTTCAAAGTAATTTCCCTCAGTTCTTTGAAAGTACTGCTCTATTGTCTAAATGAGAAGTCTGACACCACACTACTGCTTGTTCTTTGTTGTATGCATTTTCTTCCCCCAAAGTCTATCCTGGAAATGTTTAGCATCTTCTAATTTTTTACCCTTGAGTTTCTGACATTTAAAACAAAACATCTTCAAATTCTTTTTCTAAGAGCACTTTTTGTAATAGGATATTTTTTCATGTAACTACCTTTTTTTGGTCTTTGCTTAAAAACTTCCTTTTATAGCAGCCACAATACAACATAGTTTGGGATCCTACGTATTCCTAATTTACATGTGATCTTACACATCATGCAGGATCCAAGGGAATGTCTGGATTTTGGGTTGTAAATGCATCATAGTCCTATGTCAGAATATTGGGTGCTTACTATTGGGATGACTTTGCCAATAAAAACTGTATAGTTTTCACCCTTGCACAAGTTCTTTTTGGGGACATTTACTGAATATAAGAATATTACAGTGCAACACTGGAGAAGTTCAGTCAAAGGTAAGCACAGAGTTAAGGTGTCAACCTGTGGAATGGATTTACAACTTAATCCAGACTGTAGGAGCCAGACGATCCTGTTTTCCATTTTTATGTGTGTTCCCAGGCCTCAGATGCATCATGATTTTATTTATTTTTCTCAAATTGGAATAAATTTTAGTTTTTAAACTAAAAACAAAAGGTGTAAGTCTGTCTTCAATGAATCTGCCTGGTGCTTGGAAGGCCCCTTTAGTCTAAAGATATATAACTTTCAGTGGTTCTAGGCCATTTCCCCCTTTAATAAAATGAAAATACAATGCAGTCAACACCCACATCAACAGCTTTAGCTTTTTCCAGTTGGTTTATTCAACCAGTTTAAAGAACATTTCTCTGATGTATTTACTTGCACTACAAATTACCATCAGTGGGTTGCAGTTGCTCTTCATATGGGGAGGAAAGGACAATGGTGTAGGTTTTATTTCTTTACCTTACCTGTTTTAATTCCTATTTCTTTATTTCTGCTTTTAAGCTGGGGTCTCTGGAGATAAGTAGGAACACTGAATCCTACTTGTATTGTAGCCTCTACCTGAGCGTATTTCTAACTTACTTTGCTCTTTTCAACAGTCAACATGCTTTTCTTTAATTTTTGTCTTTCAGAAATTTGAACTTTTTAGAATGTTATCATCCTCATACAAAGCTAATTCTTTCTGCTTGTTTTAATTCCAGCTTCTGTTCCTTTAAGGTCATTTGTATGGCATCTTCTGAGGAAGTGTGAATGATGTCTATTTTTTATTTTTGTTTGAATTTATTCACAGAAACCTAAATCTTTCTATTTCCCTGTACTTAATTTTATATTGGAAAAAATCTGATTTCATATGAGTTTTCACTGTAGACTTGATAGTAGAGATTGGTATTCCCTCCTGATAGAGAAAAATGGTATTATTTTTTTAAATTTTTTCCTTTTTCAAACAAACAATAATAGAATAGTTTTCATACCTTCTTTAAAAGATTTGGTATCCTTTTAGTGCATGGGAAAAATTTTGATTTATGATCTCAGTTTAAAGGAGAGAAAATGTAAAATTAAATGGCAATGTTTTACAAAAGTTATTGTTATGTGGTGAGCCTGTTTTTCAGTCAGCTGGCAGTCTGATGTAGATAATAAATCCCCATCAGTGATTTAGCATGTATAAAACACATCAATCCTTTTTATTATATTTTCTGAGCCTTGACATTTATGATAATTTCCCCATATCTACTTAAAACTCTTTCTCTTATGATTGCATTATTAAAGTGGATTTTTTGCCCTTGTTGGCTTATCTCATTAGCATGTGTTTATCATATATTTTCAGGGTAATTACCATTTTGGAATAATGCACGCAACATTAAATGGATTCCCTAGTTTTAAAAGGTGTCAAGATAAAGGCAGCAGCTTTCACCCCTCCCCTCTCTAATCCCCATTCCCTTCAAAGACTACAAAAGACATTTTGATTTCTTGTCACTTGAGTCAATTGGATAATGGCAAGGATAATATGCCCCCTACTGTGTGTCCACAGTTGGTCTTGGAAGGAAAAAGAAATGATGGGACAACATTTCTACAGTATTCTCATTTTCAATGCCTCTGTTTGCTATCCTTTACTCACTGTTCTGATTTTTAGACTTCAAAAAGGACTAGATCGTAATTGATTTTTGTATGTAAGGGGAAAATCTAATGATGTCATGTTTTCTCATTCTCTCATAGTTAGAGTGACAGTTTGATGTTAAAGTACAATTCAGGGAAGGGATCATTTTTGAGTTCCTAGATATTAAGTAAAGTGATAAGATATACTCTTATTTAGTCAGTCTCCAAATAATTAAAATGGCCCTCTTTTTATTCATAAGCTTTGCTTTTCTTTCATATACTTATCTACAGAAAGCATAAACTAGTGCTTGCCACTGTGTTAAAGATGTACATGAATCACCAGACAATGCGGTCATAACTTTCAAATTGTGAACAAACTGCTAAATAACACTGATTTTACTGTTGTCTTTGTATTGCGTAGTACTAAATTATTTGAATTCTGTTACTAATTTGTAGTGTTCTTCACATTTATCAGCTTACCATAATATAACAAATCAGAACTAAAATTTTGAGCATATTTTCTTTGTTTCTTCTTTTAGTATTGTTCCATTAGAAATCTTAGATTAGTTTATTGGGCAATATAAATTATAGAGAATAATTTCTGTATATACCACAGATTTGAACTGCAATCCTGTTGAAGGCACAGTATTTGAAGAAGATAATTTAAAAATAATGATCCATGAATCATTTAAGGATGAGAATATTTCTAATAAAAATATTAGCATTGTTGGTTTGATAATATTCAATAATTATATTCCTCATATTTTTAGTTCTTAAAACAATCCATAGTGTATGTAAAACTTTCAATTTAGAGGTTTTAAAAGCAAGAGAAGAAAAGTAAGAGTGGAAGATTAATTACTCATTAAACAAATTTCGGTTGATGGCCTACTCTGTTCAGGTGCTCTGTTAGGTTCAGGAGCTCTGTTAGGTACCCTGCTAATCAAAACTTACAGTCCAGTGAGCAGATGGATGAAATACAAGTAGGAACATAATAATCACAAAATGTTAAGTGAAATGAAGAAAGCAGTGGTTAATGTTCACTGAAGTTGTATGGTACAAATGGATTTTAAATGGAGTGATCTGGGAAAGACTATTTATAGGAATGGATTTGTGCTTAGATAAGAAATTTGAGGAATTACCATGCCAGCAGAGGTGCACGGAAAGGCTGGGAAGAAGGACCGAGTTTGGAATTTTAGTGAACTTATTAGAAACTTTTTTGATTTGCACATATGAGCAAAGGGGGAGAGAAGAGGATAGTGGCATAGGAGGGAACAGGGGATACATAGATAGGCTTTCGAGAGGCTGAATATACAAATGGACAATGGTCCTAGCCTATATAAAAATAAAACTTTGACCCCACAACTTGCTTCTTTCTTTTTGTGGTTGATTTCTAGTGATACACCATTGTGGTCAGAAAAGACACTTGGTATTATTTCAGTCTTCTTGAATTTATTCACACTTGTTTTGTGGTATACCCTCCAAAAGTTTCCATTGTACAATAGACAAAGAATATATTCTCAACTTTTCTTTTTTTTAAAGGCAAGTGCAGTTTCTTTTCTTTTTTTTTTTTAAGATTTAATTATTTATTTATTTATACAAGCACTGGGTACAGTCAGAAGCGCGGGAGGGTGAGAGAATTCACCAGAGCCAGAGCTGGGAGCAGAGCGGGCAGAGGGACCGAAGCA